AAAAAAATTTCAGGCCTGTACGGGACTCGAACCACTGACCTCTGCGATACTAGTGCAGCGCTCTACCAATTGAGCTAACAAGCCAACTGGGAGCAGGCCATCAAATTAATTCGATATAAACCCGTAGATGATAAATCAAACAACAACAAACATATGAAACATATGTGTGAACTGCGGTTATGAGACGTATATGAGAACGATCCTTCGCAGTAAAGCACTATTTGAGCAATAGTGAAAATCAGACCTGAAATTTTTTTCAAGTCTGATTTTCACTATTGCTCAAATAGTGCTTTACTGCGAAGGATCGTTCTCATATACGTCTCATAACCGCAGTTCACACATATGTTTCATATGTTTGTTGTTGTTTGATTTATCATCTACGGGTTTATATCGAATTAATTTGATGGCCTGCTCCCAGTTGGCTTGTTAGCTCAATTGGTAGAGCGCTGCACTAGTATCGCAGAGGTCAGTGGTTCGAGTCCCGTACAGGCCTGAAATTTTTTTCAGGTCTGATTTTCACTATTGCTCAAATAGTGCTTTACTGCGAAGGATCGTTCTCATATACGTCTCATAACCGCAGTTCACACATATGTTTCATATGTTTGTTGTTGTTTGATTTATCATCTACGGGTTTATATCGAATTAATTTGATGGCCTGCTCCCAGTTGGCTTGTTAGCTCAATTGGTAGAGCGCTGCACTAGTATCGCAGAGGTCAGTGGTTCGAGTCCCGTACAGGCCTGAAATTTTTTTCAGGTCTGATTTTCACTATTGCTCAAATAGTGCTTTACTGCGAAGGATCGTTCTCGTATACGTCTCATAACCGCAGTTCACACATATGTTTCATATGTTTGTTGTTGTTTGTAATATTAGTCGCAATTTGTAGTAAAGTATCACAGCTAGTAATACCAATCTCGCGCTTTGTTATAAAAAGCTGCTCTTCTTTGTATTAACAAAGTACCGCACTTTTAAGAGAAAAATATCTTTCGCACTTTGTAATAAAATTGAAATGGATTGCCAGGGAGCGAATAGACCCAATAATAATAAAAACAATAATAATGATAATAACAAAGAAAATGAAAAGAAATACTCTTTAGCGACAGTTCACATTCACTCACCCGGAGGAAGACAAGCATACAAGATACATTACCTTTCTCGCAGTATTCTCCAACGAATCCATCTTCACAAAGACACTCGTAAGAACTGTATTTGTAATTTGGGATGCAGGCTCCTCCGTTTTGACATGGCGAAGAAGAACAAGGGGGCTGAAAGTAATGAGCAAGTATTGCTTGCTAAGACTACTGAATACTTGAATAGTAGTTCAGTACTTGTGACAAATGTAGCCTGCAGTGTAGGCGTCTTATTTGGGCGAGTTAACTCTCAGAAGCGCACAATCGTTTATTTAACTTAGACTACGAACAGTTCCTCCTTTTCGGCTAAGTCCACCGCGCGATTGAAAAAAAAAAATCAGTGGAGACGAATAATATTAGCAAGCTGCAGGAAACTCTTGGAGTGACGCTGATGCGCCGCGAGAGCTCCGCTACTCCAAAAGTACTGACGCAAATGCGAGTTGATAAAGTTCAAAATGTCCAAATGACATATTTGGCTTGCGATTAAGTTTAACCGCACCAATCAGAAACTGATGCGTGAACGGAGTTTCGCAAAACAACAATGACTTCGGACAGGCGTAATATTCACTCCCCCACCCTCGACCCCATCTTAATTTTTTCATTGTCATTTCTACCACTTGGAACAAATTTCTTTCTCTCTCTAGCCTTCCGCTTTAATTAAAATCAAAGATGGCGGCCATAATTTTCGCCGAGTGAGCACTCGCTCGCCAAAACTACGTCTGCTCTGCAGGCTGACAAATGACGCTTATCTCTCAAACCATCAGCTGCAGCTGCTTTACCAAGAGTACGTACCCGAATAGACAGATGATGCGAGGTCATGTTTTCCTTGTAGTTTTTCGCCTCTCTGTATTTATCGGAGGACAATAATTCGCACCAAATTTTTCCACCTTTGTCTTTGAAGGCAGCCATGTTGATTGAAAGGCAGAAAGCATTTCTTAAGCATTTAAAAGTGCAATCAAACAGGTTGTACAAAGAGAATATTCCAACTCGAGCTATCTTCAGATAATGGAACTCTTCTTTTACAAACTGACGCTGTTTTGATGTCTGCTCAAAACGAAGGTATCCTCTCTCCGAACTTTTTATACCTGGTGTGAAAAGAACGAAAATTTATGTTGTTTTTTTTTTAGACAATTGTGATTTAAGTCCGCTAGGGTAGCATAAACTTCGATCAAATTTTGGCGGGTCAAACTTCTTGAAGCTTATTAAAAATCAGCAAAAATATGTCCTTTCATTTATTTATTTATTTATTTATAAGCAATATTTATACAATATACATATTTCGTCTCTTTACACTGTCATTCCAAATGGCGAAGGTCTTCTGGCCCTTAAACATTTTTTTGATCAACATACTGTTAAGGAACCTAAATCTGAAACACTACTACGCTTAGCCGAATTAGTGCTCACACTCAATTGTTTTCATTCGGGGACAACTTTTTCAAACAAACCAATGGTGTAGCTATGGGTACCAAAATGGGACCTAGGTATGCTAATCTTTTTGTAGGTTTTGTCGAACATCAATTTTTCAGCCAATACAACGGCTCCAAACCTGAACTCTACGGTCGCTACATCGACGACTGTATCGGCCCCACCTCCTCTACCAGAGAGGAGCTGACTCAATTCATAACCGCTGTCAATTCTTTTCACTCGGCTCTGAAATATACCTGGGAGATTTCTGACAATTCTTTATCCTTTTTAGACATCAAAGTTTCAATTGAAGGCAACGGTTTATGCACTAGTGTGTATTACAAACCTACAGACTCGCAGAAGTACTTGTTGTATTCGTCTTCGCATCCATCTCACGTTAATAATTCCATTCCTTTTTCTCAGTTTCTAAGACTTCGTCGTTTATGTAGTGATGACTCTGATTTCCACCACAAATCAGAGTCAATGTGCCAGTTTTTCGATAAACGTGGTTACCCTGATTCTGTCGTTCAAGCGGGTTACCACCGCTCCCAACTTATTGATCAACATTCAGCACTACAAACGTCGCAAAAGGAAGATTCCGACCGCATTCCATTCACTCTCACGTTTCACCCTCACAACCACTCAGTTAAATCCATCATTCTTA